TCTGATTGGCTGACAGAAACAGCCAATCAGAGTGCTCCAAGCGTGGGGGCGCGCTGCCATGATTCTGAAGTAGTGCCGAGGACTGGACAGGGGGTGGGGGAGTTAAGGCCAGCAAAGCTAGCCTTGGCTCCCCCACCCTGTTCCCTGCAAGAGGCAGAACAGCGGCAGCATAGGGCATTAGGTGGCGGCACTCCATCCTAGCCCCCTCTCCCCCACATCATTCTTGATGGGCAATTAGCTAGTAAGCTGAATATGAGCCAATGGGGTGCCCTTGTTGCAAAGAAGGCCTATGGCATACTGGGCAGCAGACTGAGGGAAGTGATTATTCACCTCTTTTCTGGGGTATAGATTGTAGCCATGTTGGTCTAGTAAGGCCACATCTAGAATACAGTGTCCAGTTTTGGGCCCCCTACTATGGAAAGGTTGTGGACAAATTGGAGAGAGTCCAGTGGAGGGCAACGAAAATGGTTTGAGGGCAGGGGTACATGACTTCTGAGGAGAGACTGAGGAAACTGGCTTATTTAGTCTGGAGAAGAGAAGACTGAGAGGGGATTTAATAGCAGCCTTCAGCTACCTGAAAAGCAGTTCCAAAGAGAATGGAGCCAGACTGTTCTCAGTGGTGGCAGATAAGAGAACAAGAAGCAATGGTCTCAAGTTGAAGTAAACGAAGTTTAGATGTTAGGAAGAACTTTCTCACTAGGAGGGTAGTAAAGCACTGGAACCAGTTACCCAGAAGGGCTGTAGAATCTCCATCCCTGGAGGTTTATAAGACCTGGCTAGACAAAGCCTTGGGTGGGATGATATAGTTGAGGATGGTCCTGCTTTGAACAGGGGGTTGGACTAGATGACCTCCTGAGGTCATCCAGTTCTGGGCACCACACTCTAATTTTTTATAGTTCTATAAGGCACACTTGGTTACTTATTTGTTGCAGTGATTCTCTTCCTGCAATACCCTCAGTGCACTGACAAGGATGCCGGGCAAGCTTTTCAAGCCAAGGAACTCTGATGAACCACCCTGCTCCTGACAAAGCCAGACTCTCTTTTAATTTGCCCTTATTCTCCACCAAGAGAGATGTTGGCTTGTGGGCAGTGAGTTGTATTTATTATTTAATGTTAATAGTCTCAAGGAGCCACCAGCTATAGCCTAGGACCTAGTTTGTGGCATCTGTACAAAGCCAGAATTAAAAGATAAACTGCATCTCAAAAGAGTGTCCATTTTAAGTAGATATGAAGGTCCTGCTCAGTGACTGATCCATGTGGTGTACAGTGAGTAACAGCCCTGAACACTGCTATTGATAGGATTAAAAAAAAAAATAAAATAATCAAGAGCTGTCCAGAAAGCAGTCTACATGGCATTTCAGTAAAAAAAACCAACGTTCTCCCATTAAAAGAAAACTTAACTTGAAGTGTCTTTTCTTGAGAAGCTCCTAAGCTTTAAAAAAAACCAAAACCTTAAGAATTGGGGTAGTTCAGTTTTTCAAAATCACATAAAGAAATGGCACTAGGATTTTCCACAAAAAAGAGAATAAAAGCAAAACATGCATTTTATTTGAACTTTAACCATTTCCCAACCATCTTTAGCAAAAAAAAAAAAAAAAAAGAGCCTCTGTGGGGATAAACAAGAACCAAGGAAGCTGCAGAACATGTTACAGATGGCAGGAAGCCTGGTAATTACCCAGTGGTACATCCCAGAACCCTAGTGTGAATCCCAGAACATGAACTGTTATTGCTACCACTGTTTTCTATTACAATATCATCTATGAGTTCCAAACAGGAATGGCCCCCCACTTAACTGGAGCATAAAAGGCATTCCCCTTCCCCCACGAGTAATCTAAATATTAAAGAAGACAAAAGCAGGTTTAACCACCAAAGCAAACGAGGCTGAGAGTAATGCTGGTGGGTGATATGCAGGACAGGCAGCTATGGTAGGTGCCATCTGGAGTAGAGATGTATTAAAATCACTAAGCAGTGATTTTCAACCAGCATATCATGGCAACTTGGGGTGCCTTGAGATCCTTTCAAGGGTGCTGCACAATGTTAGCACTGCTGGGTATGCAAATATAGTTCACAAGGTAAACCCAGAGATTTCAAATAGGAATCCATAGCATCAAAATAATTTTAACCTGTTGTGATCATCTTTCTGAGATCTCTGTAACAGAAAAAATTCTATACTATTTTTCTGTAGTTGAAAACTGAGAGCTGGCATTTTCTGAGGGATGCCTCGAGTCTAATAAGGTTGAGAACCACTGCACTAGGGGGTAACAGAATGTTTTATGTTCTGACAGGATTTCTGCAACTTAAAAGGAGGGCAGCTCTCTGATGAATACTTACTTTTTTATTTTCAAGATATGAATAAGCTTTGGGGATCTTGCTGTTTTCTACAGAATGGACTATTGGTCAAGACTTGTAAAGACAAATGACCAAAACATTTGGTCATTTGGTCATATCACAGTAACATACACACATACTCTGAAGGGCTTCCATCAAATGATGCCATCATTGACAGTCTAACTATAGCAAAAACAACTCTGAAAAATCTACCACTGGATTTCCAAATGCTGTTCTCAACTACAGCATTTTGAAAGTTCAACACGTAAGTCTTCCAGGCCTTTCTCATCACATAAGTCTCACAGGCCTGGAGACTTCCAAGTCTCCAGATGTGTGGAGTTTGAAAAATAAGAAGGTAGTGAGAGCCTGAAATAAGTTGTTGAAGTATTGGCCCTACTATGGAGGACTCTTGATACAGTAAGTAGATAGGGCCAAGTAGCTCAGCAAGGACTCTTAAGAGAAAAACAAGCATACCCCTGCGAAGAAACACTAAATGTTTTTCAATTGCTTATTTGTTTTCTAGCCACCAGAACCTTTTAGAAACTTCTGGAGAAGGGACAGAGATTTATAACCATTCAGGATTAGATGTGCACATAATCTTCCCATTCTAAACATAGGTAGAACCCTCCCTGCTAACCACTAGCAAGGACAGGAAGGATTAGGGAGGTGATTTTCCTTCGAACCCTTCATCTAGCTATGTCTAACCAATATGGTAGGTTCTGGGTTCAAGTGTTTTTATCACCTCCTCCTCATCTTGTGCCCCTGCAACCAAAATGCAGGGCTATGCAAAAGTTCTCAGAAAAACCTAATAGATATAAGCAACCTATAGGTACTGCCACCCAACCTCACAGGCCACTTCTAATGACTTCAGTGTGTGTGTTCAGGAAGAAGGAAAATGTCCTAAGGATGGGATTAGGACTAAAACAGAATTCAACTGAAGACAGCTACTCATCAGTGATAGGGGCATGAGACTTCAAACGAAAGTGTCACACAAACAGAAGAGCTCTTCCCACCAGGGTATGCACACACAAAGGGCTCTCCGCACACTCCCCTCACAGGTGTCAGGCTTCAAGTCTTAGCCCCTTCCAGGGTTGGAACCTGAAATTTTCCCTCTCTTGGTCTGGGTCCCAGACTACAGCATTTGTTGTACTGACTGCTCACCAGACAGACCCATGGGTTTAAATCCATCAGTTCCTTCCCTTAGGAATCTGCTACCTGTGATGACCATGATGACTATGAAAAAAACACTGTTTATTCTGCTGTTTGAATAAAGCATGTTATGCGCAAGAATAAAGCATAAATAAAATGGCACAAGGTCTAGGCAAATGCATATCTCACATGGAGCTCTACTATCTCCCAAGGAAGAGTGAGGCAGGCTAAGCTTCCCCTAGACACCAAGACACAGATCCCATTCTATCTATTAGACATCCAAAGGCCTGTCTATACTGCAGCAATGATGTTTTGCTAGGACATGGATGAGCATGTTTTGCCCACTCAGGTTGGCAGGCAGGATCTATACCTGGAAATAGAGACTGCTCTGCCCTTGGCCCTCAGTCTCTGAAGGTGCAGAGGGACAACCCTGGAGCAGACTGATTGATGCATTTCCAGATGTGGAGCATGCCTGAAGATATGGAGGGGTGAGGTATGCGCCATTCTTTCCCCATTAGGAGCCACCGCTGACAGACTAGCCCTAAGTGGCACACAGGCATCTAACTGTGATCTTACTGTACCCTGCTCAAGTCCCTGGAAAGCCTGCTTTGTGAAACTATATAGAGCAACCGGTAGAACTATGGTCCTGTTTTCAGTCTTGTCCCTTTTATGCTGGCTTCCTCTCCATAGGGAAGGAGGGGCAAACAGTCCTAGAGCATAGGATTGGCTAAATGGGACATCCTTATGCAATTCTACTATGGTGGAGAAAAGCTTCTTGTACATACCCACTCCTCAGAGATACACTTATGCAAAGACTTCTATCTGTCCTCTTAGTCAACACTAATTCTTAAAAATTAAAAAAGATGCGTACTGACCCCAGGGTGCAAATATCTTTGCTTTGCATGCACTAGCTCTGCTCCCTTCTTGTTTTGTAAGGGAGTATTATGAAAACAGAGACTTTGGTTTCTATTCATTCCTTATCTCCCTCTCATGTTTTTACTTGCAGCAATGAAAGACTTGCACATAATGAAACCGCTGGCACTTTACAGATTTGTAATTTTACTAAGGAAAGCCACTGTATATATTCCACTGGCCAGGTACCCACTTCCCTACAGCCTTGGGTATGTTCTGCAGTGTTCTAGACAACACAGTATTAATGGTCTTAATGAAATCCATGAACTTGGTCCAATATGTTATGGTGCCAAAACCAGTGTCAGGGAAAAAAAATCCTTTCATTCAGTGTGTCAACCAGCAAATTAAACCAACCAGCTGCCTACAAGGGACAAACAAGGCCCATATTTACTTCTATAACCATTACATGTCTTCCTTCTTTTAAGACCATACCATCACTACAGCAAGAGCCAAAGGGCTAATAGAATCAACCAGCTCCCACAATGACAGAACTGCCTTGGTTTGAGCACAGGAGCTCTCCCCTCCTCCTATTCTACTAAGCAGTTTGCAGTTGCCAAAGACTGTCTGGCTCTCTCATAACAGAATTTCAGAGGCAAGACTGAGTTACTCACCTTCCCCATCTGGGCTCATGTTTTCATAGGAGTTCCAGCGTATCAGCGGATCAGAGGTATTGTAATCAACTATCACTCCATGGTCATTCTGTAGGTGTTCACATCCTGAAAAAGTAATGCCTGTGTCAGAGAGAAAGTATCTTGCTATCACCCTCTCTGATAAGGCAATCACCCTAGAGTGGGAAGTGCCGGTGGAAATGCTGGGGACAACAGATGTACTGTCATGTGAACTTATATTTCATTATGGTAGGGACAAGCAGAGAGTCGTCCCTTACTGTGGAGCGCCCTACTTATTTAAAAGCATTTAAAAGCACCCATCCTGCACAGCTAGAGAAGTGCTGTGCAAGACAAAGTTAAAATGGCATCTTGGAATGAAACCAGAAGCATCTTGATAACTTATAAAGATAGAACTTCAGGTTAAAGCAGGGGTGGGCAATTATTTGGGCTGGAGGGCCTCTTAATAAATGTGATGAGCTGTTGAGGGCCACGTGGCTCCTGTGCGGCTTGGCAGCCAGGAATGGGGCTGAGAGTTGCATTGTGCCAGGGGCAGGGCTGTGGCATTTGCAGCCCCGTGGAGCCAGGTTGCATGGGGGGAAGAAGGGAGGAATGCCTCCACCTTTTGGCCTCCCCCCCACCTTCTGTGCAGCCCCTAGTTGGGGAGGGTCAGGGCAGGGGGATCAGTTCCCCTCCTAACCTGCCCCACTCTGCTGCGTGGTGCCAGGCGGGCAGGTGGGCCGGCCAGGGTCCAGCCTCTGCTGGTGTGGTGGGGGGCACTGGGCAGAAGCAGCCCTACCCGTCCACCTACCTGGTACCACAGAGTTGAACTCCATCCCCCAGGCTGGCACAGAATGTTGGGCAGGCAGGTGGACAGCAGAGGCTGGAGTTGGAAACGCTTTCAACAAGCCTATCAGCTGATCCTAACCAACCCACAGGTGGGTGGCAACTCCAGCTCTGGCTCCAGCTTCTGCTGGCGCTGCAAGCCGGACAGAATTGGCAAGCCAGATATGGTTCATGCCCTGTATTTTGCACTCCCCCTTCCCCCCCGGGTTAAAGTATACAAAGAAAACATCATATAAGATAGCTTAGGTGCTCTATTGTCCTGATACTAGGAAAGGTTTATTCAGCACTTTCATAAAGCACAAGGTGCCAAACATCCAACTCAGTGAGGGTCCAGAGTAAACAAGACAGCTCAGAGGCAACGGTGCCCTTCCAACTTCATCTGTTTTGCTGCTACTTCTCCAGGACAGGAGCTTGGCAGCTGCTGCCGTGCATGAGCATGCCAGCTCAGCCAGTGGATGGAAACGTTTGTCAGGGTTTGTGCACCTGGTGCCCCAGGAACTGTATTCTGCCAAACATACCTGGGATTTTCAGCAACAACTGAGAAGTTCTCACATTTTGTTTCACCAATAACAGTGTGATTTATACATTTAAAACCTAAATGTTATAACAACGAGTATAGGTGTGGTGAGAGATGCAAGCACAAAACATGACAATTAGGAGCTGATGAATTCAGTACAAGCATTGATACTAAGTGGGTCCTAGACTGGATGTCACCCAGGTTTCCCATTCTGGAATAGTGGGAAAAATTCCTTCCTTATCTACCAATCAGCAGTGCTCTGAGGACACAGGCGGAGGAATAAAAATTATTTGGGGCGGGGGGGGGGGGGGGGGGCGGGGGGGGCCCCCCC